TGGACATCGAGTCATGGGTAGTATAGAGGTTGTACTCAAGAGTACTAAGTTGATTCTGCAAGTTCACAACAAGTTGCGAGTCATGCAAAGCAGGATGAATATTTATGTAGATCGGTGACATTCAAATCTTGAGTTTTAGGTGGGAGAGTTGGTGCTTTTGAAGGTGTCACCTTGGAAAGGTGCCATCCGATTTCGGAAGCGGAGCAAGCTGGGTCCCAGATTCATCGGAACTTTCAGGATTTCGGTCCGAGTGGGCAAGGTTGCACATCGACTGGATTTGCCCGATGAGCTCAGCCAGATTCATAACACCTTCCATGTGTCTCAGCTTCGGAAGTGTGTAGCCGATGAGTCTAAAGTTGTTCCTTTGGATAATATTTAGATTAATGATCGCCTGAATTATGTAGAGATACATGTAGCGATCTTAGATTGGAAGATGAAGGCTCTACGCAACAAAGAAGTGTCACTGGTCAAGTCCCAATGGAAACATCGGAAGGGCTCCAAATGGATGTGGGAGAGTGAGGTGGAGATACGAGAGCACTACTTAGATTTATTCACAGCATCAGACTTCTAGGATGAAGTCTGGTTCAAGTGGGGAAGAGTTATAAAATCTATTATTCATTTATTCATTTTAACCCGTGAGTTGTACTTTATTTGCAAGATTAGTTCCTGTAGCAATTTCGTAATTTTGGATTCAACTTGCATGCACAGGACGTACACCTTCGTACGTAGGGCGTACCCGGGTTCGCATTAGTACGATGCACATATGATGGTACGTAGGGCGTACACAGTCAGGTTGTAAACCCTAAATTTTAGCATTTGGAGTCTATTTAAACACATTTATGGCCACATACACCTTTTTATCTTAAACATCCTTCCTCATTTTGAAACCCTAAAGATTGTAGGTGCATTGTGAAGTTTGTAGAGCCATTTTTGGTTCCATTTAGAGCTTTTAGAGTAGAAGGAAGAGCATTGGGGTTATGGTGTTTAACTCAATGCCTTGGGTCCAACATCTTGTTCCCTTTGTGCACCTTGTGGAGGTAAAAAGCTTCAACCTTTTTGTATCTAGAAATCTTATGGATCTAGTTTTAGCTCAAAGTTGTTCACTTTTTGTCCCAAACTTGGTCCTTTTGAGTAGAAGGTACTCCAAGGCATTTGAGTTGTCCTTCCAAAGGTTTTGAGAGGTGTTAAGTCATAAAGTTGGGTTTTTTATCATTAGTTTCTCTCCATGAAAGTGCTAGAGTGTCTTAATGGGTTAAGAGACTAGGCTTTTGGATTTAAGGTCTTAATAGTCATGCTAAACCATAACGTTGGAAACTTTAGGGTTAAGAACATCTTTTCTTGCCTAGATCCGAAATTTGAACGTAAGTGCTTAAGGGATTAAGCACTTACTAACCGAGTCAACCCGGTTGACTTGATTGACTATGAACTAGATTTTGAATAGGGTTTGACCTAAGGGTATTTGAGGTATTTGAATGGTAGTCTGAGTTTTGGTTACTGCTATTCATAAAGGTGACCAGTAGCGTGGGTTTTGAGCAGCTTTTCATTTACTTTTTTCGTCTGTCTGTGAGGTGAGTCTTCTTACCACCTTAAGTGGGCCGAAGGCACCAAGGCCGACCCACTAGATTGTATGAGTAAAATTGTATGTTGTCGTGTGATTTTGTATGATGTGATTGTATGATTTATCTATTGAGATAGTCTGGGCTCGATGACATTATTGATTTGGGGCTGATACGAACATAGGGGTTGATTCAGACCGACATAGCAACTTGTTGTTATTTTGGGTGGATACGTACCTGCGGGTTGATATGGACCTAACACAACCACGTGTTGTTATATTATATCTATGTTGTATGTAGTATTTTACGAAGCTCACTAAGCTTTATGCTTACAGTGTATGTTTATGGTTTTAGGTACTTCTAGTTCAAAAAGGAAGGGTCCTACGTGATGCCACAACATCCTCCCCATATGATTTCCGCACTTGATATATTTGTACTATGATGGTTTGAAATATTGTAATGATTAATGGTTTTTGGTACAATCAATTAATGAAATTAATAGTTTTTAAATGAAATTTTTTACTACTGTTTTTGGGTTGTGACACTCGCATCCTCTCTCTCTCTCTCTTTATCTCTCTTTCTCTCTCTCTCTCTCTCTCTCTCTCTCTCTTTCTCTCTCGTGCGTACGCGTCGACTTCACAATAGCCCATCTTGTTTCCTTTTGTGTCAAGCAAAGCAACCCAAAAACCTCTAAAGGGATTACCATTGTTCCCCTTTGTCTTTTACCCTAAACACACTGCCGAAGTGGGTGTTTTCTTGGAGCAATCTTAAGAGGCAACAACCACTTCTTACTCTTCTTGTTTCCCCATCAACACCACATCCAAACACCCCCCCCCCCACCTTCTATATTGTTCATGTTCATCCTTCCCTTCATGTTTAGCGGTCGGCGATTGTAGGACATCAGCCAAGGGAAGCCGCCAGAACAACCTTCCTTGCCACAACAGACGACAACAACATCCTTGTTGCCTCCGTTCCCTTTTTCTTTCTCGAGCAGGTGGATACCGGAGACCCATTTTCCTTCATTTCCTATACTGCTGGCGACGAGGTAGGAACCTAATTCTAATTAGGGTTTATGATATGTTATTCAGTACGGGGAGTTTCAATCTGGTCAGCTCGGGTGTATGATTTTTTTGTCTGACATCATATTGAGGTGTGTCTTCTCACTGTACTCATGGGTCGAAGGCATTAATGTTGGCTTACTAGATTATGCTAGTTGTCTTTGTGGCACTTGCATATTTATGTTGGGATGGGCCCATTTGTCATCTTCTCTAACCTAGTCAAATAAAGATCGAGATTTGATAAGTTTCCTTGGAATCGATAAAGTTATGCGGAGTTCATAATTGCATAAAATGAGTCAAAGTAAAGTAGTGGTTGCGGCGCGTTGAGGCACTTCTTTGACGGTTCTCATATGCATGGCTGAGGTATGGAGTATTTTAACGCTCTGACACCAACTTATAACATCCCAAAAATACCTAGTAAAATTTTCATTTTTAAATAACTCAAACCATTCATTCGTTATTCCAAAAGACAATGAGAGTCAAAGTATATTCAAAACATCATAGTAAAATCATAAACAATCAATGCGGAAATAAATTGCTAGGGGATGCACTACGTTAGATCGGGCCCTTCCTTTTGAAACCATAAGTACTTGAAAACAATTTGAAGGTAACTGTAAGCACAAAGCTTAGTGAGTTCCCCAAATACCACATACAACAAATATAACAACATGTAGTTATATCAGGTCTATAACAACCCCGAGTCCGTATCAAACCTAAGTCCATAATGACTCCGAGCCCAGATTAAATCCATGCATACAATATATAATCATACTAGCAATAGTCCAAGAGACATTGATGCCTTTGACCCACGAGTAAGATGAGAAGACTCACCTCAATCAGTCAACGAATAGATCTCACACACGATTCATTGGTGCTAAAGTCTCTCCCACTCAACATATCCAAAACCAAACCTTAATTAGCAATTAAGGTAAATACTTGAACTTAGGCATTCCAAATACCATGGTAAATCCTCATTTAGGAAAAGGACCATTTTTCCCTTCTAAGTCCTCAACCCCTCATAGTTGACCAAAAGTCAAACTAGTCAAAAAGTCAACGGTCAACCTTTCGTTCACTTATGTGTAGCGTACGTCTTACTCTATGCAGGGTGTAGAATTTTATTAAGAAAACGGGCAAGAATCAGGCTACACTGGGCGGCCCAGATTACGCCCCACATACGGTGTCCCTTGCCAAATTTTACTTTAAGCACTTAATACATTAAGACCTTTTACTCAAAGCTCAAATCTAGTTCCTAATAGCTCCATAATGGATAAAGTTTCCAACTTTATCCATTAGAATGGTCCAAACAGCCAAGATCTAGCCTTTAAGTCTCAAAGGGACCAAAAATACATCTTTCTCAATTTAATCCATTAAGTCCAAGTCTTCAACCTTCAAATCTGAATCAATATGATCTTAACTTTATGCCCTAAAATGACCCAAAAATGTTATCACAAGTTGCGTGACTTAATAAAGAAGTACCAAAGCACAACTTTCCAAGTCCAATAAGTCCCAAGATTGATCCATATAGCTTAAAAGGTGATTGAGTTGCCTCAACTCCAAAAACACAAGCTCAAAGAACCAAAAAGTAACAAATATGATGATTAACAAAATCTATGAAAAACCAACAAACATGTTTCAAGCTTTTTACTTATAATAGTCCAGGAATGAAGTAACCTTGCTGGATATATACTTGAACCCTTCTTCAATACACTTTGTCATAAACTTGTTCTTTAAGATTCCACATTCTAAAGAAGAAATAAGCTCATAAATGATGCAAGGCTCAAAACAAGTGAGAGGAGGCTAGGTTTTCTCAAGGAATGATCTTAAGTGATGGAGGTTGGTCATGAGAGGGTTTCCTATAAGTTAGAACCCTTAAATGGGGCTCAAAGCCGAAGACTTAGGGTTTTGATCTGCCATGATTACGCCTCGCATAACCTAAGTTACACCATGCTTAGCACATTAGAAACACAATCCACACTTAGCAAGTTATGCCGTGCATATGACAAAATCCCAAATTTTCTCTTCAACTTCAAACAGTCATAACTTCTTCATTTCAACTTCGTTTTCGGTATTTTTTATATACACGGAAAGGTATTGAAGAGCCCCACAATTGTATCTAATTACTTTCGACTTAAAACATACCGAACTAAAATCCTTAATTCAAAAAAGAAGTCTAAAACATCACTTTTCTCATTTTACCTTTGACTCCAAAACACAAACCAAGGGCTTAGATCACATAACGAATATTATCAACATCCAATAGAGTGTAAACCATATTCCCTTGAAGCACAAAGCATTTACTTGATCCATTTATTGTCCAAAATCCGAAAATAAGAACTTCTCGAAGCAGGATGTTAGAACTTTCCCCCACTTAAACTGGATTTTATCCTCAAAAATTTGTCTTGGTTAGAATCTCTGAAACAATACCAATATATTCCATAAGCCCCTCTAATCATTTCGAAATCAAGGCATCTTATAATGAAAACTTGAGAGACCACTTGGAAACCCACCGTTGCCAACAAACAACCCAATAACTTGGAAATACTCAACCACAACAACTATCTATCTCTCCGTAACTGCAAAAACTTGATATACTTCAACTACTTTTTAACAATGAAAATGGAACAGATGCCCTAAGGTATATTTGTCATTCAAAGAAACATACTACAACTTCATAAGACATGAAAACTAACGCTAAAGTTACAACAAATCAGTGGCGTGATCACGTGCACGGCTTAGCCGCTTCTTCCTATATCTCCATGCCACCTGAATGGTTGATGCCGCCACACCTTGCCAGTATGGAGATTTGTTCCTGAAGTTTCCAAAATGTAATAATATTTAAAACCAATTTCACATTCATTCAACTTTCATTTTTTTTTTTTCATTCCTATGAATTTCGCAATTGTGTTTTACAAATAATCTTTATTTAAGTGATGAATAGATAACTGTGCTTAAGATTTATTTTTGTCGTTTGTGAGAATATTATCACTTTTTAAATGTAATATTATTATAAGCTGTAAATTAACAATACTTTCTTACAAAATTTTGAAAATAGAACTACATGACTCATTAAAATATTTAATATTATGAGCACTAAGCCTTTTCATCATTACCGACGCGTTATTTGATTAAAAACCTAATTTATTTATCACTTGAACATTTTCAGTCAATAAAGAAAAATAAAGGAAATTAGATTTTTAGTCCCTGAGTGTAGCTGTTGATATTTGCAATTCTGGTTCCAATTTCCAAAAATTTCTCTTGTATTTTTAGTCATTATTTTTTGGTTTGTGTTCCAAGTAAAAATGACAACTTTTGGTGCACCGTAAAGCTGTTCTTGCAATTTTAATCCCATTAATAGAGTTTTTTATTTAAAACATGAAAAAATATATAACTTTACAAAACCACAAATTAGGACACAATTTTCTAGAGAAATATTTTTGGGGAAATTTTTTAAAAATTCAGCTATATCTAGAAGAAATAAAAAAAAAATACACAATAAAAGCATCTACAAAGTACGTACAAACTAAAATCCAAAATTTATAAATAAAAAAATTGAAAACTATATATAATAATTTTTTCTTATTTAATAGAATAACTGTTTGAGGTATGTGAGTGGAAGAACCGTTAAGCTTGGTTACTATTTAGTGACATTATCCCAAAAGGTAAAAATTACCCAATTTATTTTCATAAAAATAGCACAAAATTGTAATGATAAGTGGTTAAATAATATGTAAAAGATGAATTATTACCCAATAGCAAACTGAACACGAACATTCTTCAAAAATCCATCAAAAAGTGTGATTACTTCTTCAAGATCTTCAGCCCGAAGAACAAATGCCTCCACATCTTTTAAGCATTTCACTGTCCTATTGCTAAGCAATCTGTTTCCTTGTTTTCTTTGGTTTCTTTTATCTAGAAGAAACATTTTAAATTTAAAAAAAAAAAAAAAAAAAAAAAAAAAGATATTTTGCCATCCATTCCTAACTAGTTTATATCTATTTATACCTTCAAGGCACCATTTGAGAAGTTCTTCACCACATACATCACCTTCCAACAATGAAACTTTATTATTCCCATTTTTTTCAATGCTTTCCATTTTTCCTCTTACAATAAAAGTCATCTTTGTTACAAACCCTCCTTCATATAAAATTGTGCATCCTTTGATGTAAGTCTTTTGCCTTAGCCTTTCACATATTGCATCTAAGATTGGTTCATCCAGAAGTGCGAAAATTTTCACCTACAAATATCCGTAAAGTTTAGATGTATTATTTTAGAGAATAATGAGACTTTTCTACATAAAACCCAGTGTAATTTATAGCATCTTACTTATGTTTTTTCCTATTAAAGTATTGTACATAAAATATCTACCCTAATATAGCAATGATTTGGTTGGGTTTTACAAAGTACAATATCTTAATATCAAAAAGTTTTAAAGTACAATTGCCATAAACGGATAGAGATGTTTTAAATTAGAATACTACAATTGATTATCTTGCTATTTCAAAGTAAAGTTACAGTTTTAAGGGTTAAATGCAAGAAATAGCAAAATACTTTCATTTAACTGTTTGTTTATAGCAACTTACTTTCACTTTTTTTTTTTTCCTATGATGGTATTATATTTCTAAAAATCTATCCAATTATAGCAATACTGCTATGATTTGGTAGAGTTTTCAAAGTGCAATGTATTAATATGAAAAAAGTTGAAAGTTGAATGCTAGAAATGGGTAGAAGGTTACCTTGCTATTTCAAAGTGGAGATATAGATTTAAAGGTTAAATGCAAGAAATAGCATTATACTTTCATTCATTTGTTTTTATCTATCCAATTATAGCAATGTCATCGAAAAGCTTACAAAGCAATTTTCACTTGCTATAAATGGGTAGATTTTTTCAAGGAGCAATATCTTAATATGAAAAATACAGAAAAGTAGAATGCTATAATCAAGTAATCATGATCAAAAGGAAAGTGGGATCTTACTTTCTTGACAAACTTAAAAAGGTGGCGACGAATATCTCTTTGCAAGTCTTCAGGCAGATTCTCCATCAGTGTTTCTTCATCCACCCCTCGGGTAGCTGCCCAATGGTAACGCTCTGACTCTCGAACTTCTCTACACATAAAAAAATGGTCAAAGTCAACCTTTGACCAAATAGACAACAAAACTACACTTAGACTATGTTCGGCGTACTAGGTGAAAAGCTAGTTGTTATATGAAAAGCTAGCTGCTAGCTGATTAAAATTGACGTTTGGTAAAACTAGCCGATAAGTAGCTGAAATATATAAAAGAGTAAATTACACGAATGGTCCCTATGGTTTGGGGTAATTTGCATGTTTGGTCCTTAACTTATTTTTTTTAATTCAAAAGGTCCCTAATGGTTGTTTTTGTTGCGCGCTTGGTCCCTAGCTTACCTAAAAAGAATATTTTGCCCTTGATTTTTTAATTTATTTAAATAAACACACCCCCAACCCCAACCCCACTTCCACCTCACCTTACCTTACCTTACCTACCCTACCTTATTTATATAAATTAAAAAATCAATGGCAAAATAGTCTTTTTAGGTAAGCCAGGGAACAAGCGCGCAACAACCATTAGGGACCTTCCTAGTTAAAAAAATAAGTTAGGGACCAAACATGCAAATTACCCCAAACCATAGGGACCACTCGTGTAATTCATTCTATATAAAAGAACATAAACAGACATTTAAAAGAATATGTTTTTATACTCAATTAAGGGTATATTTGGAAAAATTTTAAAAAGCTCCTGAAAAGCTAGTATAAGTAGTTTTTTAAAAAGTTAGCATATGAGCTACTTTTTGGCTTGTCAAACACGACAACTTAAAAAAGCTCGAAAAATAAGCTAGCTGTGGCGTGCCAAACACAGCTTTAGTAAAACTAGTTGATAAGCTAGTGAAATAGAATATGTAAAATGACATAAAAGGCCATGTAGAATAAGAATGTTTTGATACCTTCGTATCATATCTGGGAGACGTCGATGACTCATCCACTCCTCAACATCACGTCTTCTAAGTGACTTTTCAAGTCGTCTAGTATAATATTAAAACAAAGCAAAGTAATGATATTTGATATGATGAAAGAATGAGGGGTTAAAAGTAGCATAAGTGTGATAGTAAAAGGGGTACCTTCGTCCAAGACCTTGAAGAAAGTTCTGCATGTTTCCAATAAGAAGGGCAAAAAGTAGAAGGCCAAGTCCAATGATGCCCATCGTAAAAAGGACTTCCCCAACAAAGTAACTTGGAGTTTGATTCCCACCTAACGTGCTGATTTGCTTGTAACAATCATCAACAAATGAAAAAAAAAAAATTAATATTATTTAACTTCATGTATATATGCAAGAAATAAAGACCCAATCATGGTATTTTGTCATTTTACTATTATGCAGACACCATTTCCATAATTTATACATTTTCTGCCATTACACAGGGACCATTTCAGTAATTCTGCAAACTAATAACACACGGACCATTTCTGTAATATTTGTATTTTGCCCACCAAAGACCATTTCTGTAATTTTACTATTACACAGGGACCATTTCTGTAATTTTGATTTCCTGTTATCACAAAGGGGCATTTTCTGTAATTTTACTATTTCACAAGGACCATCTCTGTAATTCTAAATATTAAAAGAAAAACAAAAAACATTGTTGTGATGTGACCTTAGGAATAAGTAGAAAACAATTTAGGTAAATGTTAATGTATATATAATATGGTATAAAAAACCACAATCCCCTGATTTATATTGTCAATAACATTTCATATAGGAAACAAGTAAGGAGAAAGAATTTAATACCTGAAGCCCCCAAAAAGAGGAGTAGACATATCTTGTGATGAAACTACTTTCAGTAGTGAGATTGACAGCTGTCATGTAAATCCCATAGTTGAAACCATCTTCACTAAAACAAGCACTCGAATTTCCATCTTTTTTCCACTCATTCCATATTTCAAGATTACCTTCAAAACCCCTATAAACATAATCATTCCCATGCCCACAATCTATAAACTTCTTACAATCCATGATTCTAGAATCATGACAGCTGTCTCGAAGGCATCTGTTCACCCTCTTCAAAGGAATTATAAGAAAAAAAAAACAATTAGAAAAATGTGTTGCAAAGTTTTAGAAAACATTATATGATACGAGTTAAAGGAATTCATCATAATGATGATGTCACCCACCAGTAACCCTAACATATACCAGCATGAACCAATAACATGACCCGCCAAGACAAAAGTCAAAAGATTGATGACAAAGTTTGCCCATGTTGACTGAAATATGAATCCACTTGAAGATTGTCCACCAAGAAGAGGCAGAAATCGGTATAATCTTGGAATGTATTGAATAAGAATAACTGTTTGAAGGAGAAACTTTGCATAACTAGCCCCTGGTGATGAAACCCCATTTGGTTGCACAAATAATACAATCATCTGTTGCAATAGATAGTTTATTATCTTATATGAGGAAAAAATAATGCACAAAATGATTTTATGGTTGAAAAAGAGAATCTTGCCTGAGGAATTGGGAGTACAATAAGTAAGTCAAGGAAGAAAAATCCAGAAAGATAATGTAATGCGATTTTTGTATGATGTTTAACCAAGTCTCCAGCTCCTACAACTCTTGATTCAGGTGAAATGAATGCTAACTTGAACTGAAAAAGATGTATTCTCAAGTCTAAACAACCATTTGTATATTGAAGGAATGTAAAAAAGAGGTGATTATATAAGCAGTGGTACGTTTACCTCCATAAGAATGCGCATCAAGTATATAAAGTCTGTTATGCTTCTGGAAACCACAAGGATTATTGCCATTGGCCAATTAATTACTACACACTTGTAGTCCTGCTTCCAAAAAAGATGATAATCAAAAGATATTATGCCAATTCACAAGCAAAGATACAAAAACATTCACCTTGACATCATACTCTGGGACATGTTAATGTTCAATGAGAAATAATACGAATCAATCGGCAAACTTTAGATGAGATGGAACTAGTTCTCATGCTAATCAGCGTTTAAATGAGTTTTGAGGTAGAAATAAGAAAAATGGCTTTGAGTTGTGTTATTTAAGTGAAGAAAGAGTATTTTTCTTAACTCAGACAAGTAAAAGAGTTGGCTTTTACCAAGAAGTTGACCTTTTTTGTCTGTCAAATATGTCCATGTAATAGATATAAACAATTAATATTTCCAAAATAACTTCAAATCAAGATTGAGTTTTACCTTCTTCACTGACAACAAGTAAAAGAATAAGGGGTCTATGAAAATGGCGAATAAGCAAGAAATGAGAAAGAATTTGTTCAGCTGCTCAACATATTTGTCATGTGGATTCATGACACCAAATGCAAATTTTTTTAGTAAAGATAACGTTTCTTGTGTCCACCCCCCATGTACAAGTACAACACCATCATTCTGCAAAAGAACACAACAAAATGATTGTTATGATGAATAAAAGTAGTTTTTTCAATTCAATGCAAATGAACACTAGCTATAAGTACATGAGGTCGAGAGTTTTACTTCATTATTAGAATCTCCCGATTGATTGTTATGATTTCTAGTATACAAGGGACTTGTAGAGGAAACATGACTTATTTCATCAGAATTTACTTCATTGGAGCTCACTGGGATCGATATTGAAACACTTTTGCTCCTGTTTGAAAATTTTCCATTTCGACTGTAGTCTTCTACATCATCTTTTCCAACTGTGTCCATCAATCAAATCTCAAGTACAACAGCTTCCTGAAATAATATAGTATCAAGCAGATAGGATAGAAGCGAGAGAAATTGAACAACAAAACTAATAACACTCTCTCAAAAGTAATGTTAGGCAACACATTCAGTCTACTCGACCACATTTCAGAAGCACTCAATCACCATGTTCTTACATTCTTCAAGTGAAATTGAACTTAGTTCACGATCAAAAGTGAAGCATATTCAGCAATTTAATTACAGAAAAAGAGAAAATCGTCAGAAGCCAGAGGAAATTAAGGGCATACCTGTTTAATGCCTCTGATTAACCTCTATCAAACGAAGAATGGGGGAATTTACAAGTAGCTATAAAAATGTGTGTTTAAATAAGAGGATGATAAGAAACAGCCAAATGAAAGGAGGAGACCAAGATTTGAGAAGGAAATGCATTGATTGCACGTAGATTTAGGGCATCTGTATGAGGCTCGCAAGTTGTAATTGATCAGATCAAGTGGACGATGGAATTTTGGAAATGAGTAGGAGAATGCAATTGCGACGAAAGCATTCAAAGTTGACTATACGATCCACTAAAACCATACATACCCACCGTTTCTCTTTGAGAACGTGACCATGAAAGGTCAGTCAACGCTCAACACAATCTCCTTCAAATTTTATTGATTTATAGTAAATTACACAAATGGTCCCTGTGTTAAAGGGCACCCTGGCCAGGCGCCGAAATCGTCCATTTGCGTGACGTTTGATAGATGCTAGAGATCTATACTAATAAATAAAACTCATTTTCTGTCACATGTCATGTTCTCATTGATTTGAATATATGGCATTTTAATAGATTTTTAAAATTTACTTATTTCCACATGTAATTTTCTGATTTGTTTACATATCACAACTTATTTCGGCTACAATATTGAGAGAAATAAATGTTTATTTGAAAAAGAATTGATATATTTATAATGTAATAAATATCATAATTAATGAGAGCTCTAAAATTGATATTGATATTAAATATTGATTTTAAATTTAAAGTTTAAATATTGATATTAAATTTTTATTTTTAATAAACCTGTGTAGTACACAGGTTTCATACCTAGTATTGAATACATCGAGCAATACACAGAAATATAACACAAGCATTATTTTTATGAATAGTATATATTACATTGTCTTATTGTAATACTAGCATAGCAAAAACAAACGACATTTTAAACATCGATAACCAAATAACACTGCAAATCAATCCTTTGTGTGAATCTCGGATTACATTGCCAATTCTGACTCCCATTTCCCTGAGAATACATGCGATTTAAAATGTCAACAAAATGTTGGTGAGTTTATAGTTATCTATGATTTGAAAATACTTTTACACGTTGTGTATATTTTTCATAAGTATTTTGTTATTTGTTAAGATGCTTTTTTTTGGAATTTTGTTAAATTTATTGTTTCTTTACATTCCTTTAAAGTATATTCTTTACTATATGCGTACTATTACTACTTCAAGGCTTTCCCCTCTAAGTAGTTCAATTAATTAAGGATGGTGGAGCAATGTTACAATGACTTCCCATAATCGAGCTTTTGAATTGATATTTGCCCCGCACAAGGCTTCATCGGATGTCCTAATATATTAGAAAGTTGTCCATGCTATGAATCAACCAAAAAGGTTGTAGCTAGCAACCGTATGTAGGGGTGTCAGCTCCGTATAGATCTATACATATATTTCTCATTCACTTAAGATTTAACGATTATAGGTCGGGATCAACTAAAGTTTAATTAGCTAATTGATGAATAGTTGTCTTATTAACATCTGTTTGATTAGCCTTATAGTATAATTTTGCATTGATAACCTTGTTTACATAATTATATTTAACTATATAATTATATTACTTTAGTTGATTTGAATGGGTATTTGGGCAGAGTACTGCCTAGATATATGATTATTTGATATAGTTTGGCCATGATAATGGCTAGGCATAATATTATTCTAAAGATTTGGCCAAAGTCACTACGAGTCATAATATTATCATAAATATTTATGCGGTATAACAATTAGGCATAATATTATCCATAACATTTAGGCAGAACTACCAGACATAATATTATCCTAATGATTCAATTATATCAATGTTGTATAACAAATCATGATATAATATCTAATGATAATTTTAGAAATTAGTAATTTATTAACTAGCATGTATTAGCCCTTGGAAAACTTTTGAAAATGTAAAAGTGGGGCCATGAACTCACCCTAGCAATGTGCTTTTCAGAAGCTTGGGATCGTCGCGTCGGGACTCGAGATCACTCGGGAGGGCGAGAGGCTCAAGGATTGAGACACACACACACACACACACAGAGAAAGAGAGAGAGAGACGAATAGAGAGATAGAGAGGTGTGAGGAAATGATCTGAACCTGACCTACTTTTTAGAGCAAGTCTTGGGGAGCACCGTACGATTTCTAAAGGTGCACGTCACGTGTGTACGCGGTGGCTCTACCACGACACAAACATGTGTCTCTATTTCATCAATCCACATCACTCGTATCTTCGTAGATTAGGCTTCAGAGTGTGCGCCCTGCGTGGGGCGTTTGACATGCACACATATGAGCCCCATTTTCGACGCTCTATTGTAACATCCAAAAAATACAGATAATTTTTTTTAAATCATTCAAATCATATGATACTAATATCAAGTCATTTAAAAGTGTATCATAGAACCATATTATCATAGTACAAATTCCCAAAATTTTAGAATGCGAAAATCACAGGGTGATGCGGTGTGATCTGGTCGGGCCCTTCCCCTTCGAATTGTAAATACCTGAAACATAAACTGAAAACCATAAGCACAAAGCTTAGTGAGTTCCCCCAAAATGCCTCATACCATACACATAAATAGACAAGGATATTTGGGTGCTTGCAATCCCTTTCGGTCTATTTCAACCGGATACATTCAAGTATATCGGGGTGCTTGCAATCCTCTTTGGTCTATTTCAGGGTTATACCATCAAGCATATCTGGATGCTTGTAATCCCCTTCAATCTATTTCAACCTAATACATGGTTTATTTCACCCCTACTACAACATAAACTAGAGGGCCGGTATCGGTGCCATCGACCCACAAATATAGTGAAGGAAGCTCACCTGATACTGAGAGACAACTAAATCTCGCACTCGAACTGTTGGAATTATACTCCGCCTAATGACACAATAATTAACCCTAATTGATAATTAAAGTCCATTAATCAACTCGAGAGTCCAAGTCCTGCAACTAAACCCCTTAAGGGTAAAAATACCAGTTTTCCCCTCCTATGGTCCAAAACCCCAAATCTTGACCAAAAGTCCAAAAGTCAATAAAAGTCTGCTGCCTTGCGCGTACGCTAGGCGTACTTTCTTCCTATGTGGTGCATACTCGGAAATCAGGTGGGATCAGGGTCTCACCTGGCTACGTTGGGCGTTGCCAGTAGTACGTGGGGCGTACCCCGTCTGACCCCCAAAACCATACCAAAATGGTCTCAATCATTAAGACATGCGTCCAAACACAAATCTGACTTTCCTAGGACGTCTTAATCCATAAAGTCTAAAACATTAAGCCTTTGCATGGCTGAAAAGGGCTTGAACTTTAAAACACTAACTTAATCCATACTCATCGCCACCAAACTCTTGAATGGATAGAAAAGGACCATCAAGCAACCATTTTTATGAATCTACAAGACCTAACATGCATGAAAGTGTAACGCCCCTATTCTCAGGTATTGATATTATAACTTTAAAATTCAAGTTTCAAGGTCTACTCGACGAGTGGATGCCGTGACTCGTCGAGTAGGAGCAGGATTGGGCCACGCATTTAAGTAACCAACTCGCCGAGTCGGAAGAGTGAATCGATGAGTTGGAGCTGGAGGGTGAAACCCTAATCCCCAGGGTTTTGCACCCTATTTAAAGGATCCTTTGCCCCTTATCCTCCCCTTACAGCCCCTGTGAGTCCAGAAACCCTAAATCTCCATTTTATCTTCATACTTGTTTGCTTAAGTATGAAGGTTGGATTTTGGTGAATAGGGGATTGAAGATCAAGAAGCTTTGAGCAAGGAACAGTTGGGGATCTGAAGTATACCTCGGTTTATCATCATTTGAAGGTATCAAGTCATCACCTTGAGCTTCTCCTAGCTAGATCCCTTTTATATTGAGTTTTGGGACCATTTTAGGCATTTGGTGTTGCATTTCGAGTGAGGAACCACGATATGAAGTTGCAACTTCAGATCTAGGCTCATCTTGGCTCTCATCATCATAAAGTCTTAGTCTTTAGCATGTTGGTGAAGCTCTTTTTCTTAGAACCACTTCTTTAGCTTGATTTAAGTCATTAGCACCTTGCATGCACGTAAAGTTTGCAACTTTACGTGATAAACATGCCTTAGGGGATTTGATCTGCAGTATGGTGCCTTAGCATGGCGTAAATAGCATCTGTATGGATGATGGACTGAAGGGACTCGGCGAGTGGCATAAACGACTCGGCGAGTTCGATGAAGATTTTCAAAGACTCGGTGATTCGTATGAATGACTCGGCGAGTACGATGAAGATTACCTTGGGCTCGGCGTGTCAAGCCAGTGACTCGCACGAGTGGGCAAGTTATGCAAGGAACTCGACGAGTAGCTGAGGGTACTCGACGAGTTGAGGTCGACATGGACTATTGGCCTTGACAGTTGACTTTGACTTTGACCAGGGTTGACCAGTTGACTTCTGAGGGAATTTGGTAAATGGGATTTTGATAGCAAAGGACATTGGTGAATATAGGTGTTGGAGTTGGAGCTACATTTGGAGGGGTTTGACACTACCTTTCGAGCTACTTATGAGGTGAGTTATCCTCACTATATCAACAGGGTCTAAGGCACCAAGGCCGACCTTTTATGGATTGTATTCAAATTATTACATGTTATGCTAATTGGTTTACATCCTGCTAGTTAGGATAGTGATACGCTATGATTTAGTGACCCGGTTGGGTCAGTGTCCTGATATATAGGATGATGCTATGCTAGTGACATGTTAGGACGATATCCTGGTTATAAGATTGATTGATATACTGAAAGGTCTTATATTTATGGTTTGGGCTAGGCAATCATATGTATAGGTCTTATTAGGTTATGATTATGTTTTGTTGATTAATTGCATTGTTTACGGTTAGGCTTGTGTGTACGACCGTAAACGAGTTTATGGCTATAAATCCGTTTACGGCCAACTATTCCCTATATATAGGGCTTGTCAGAGTCTGTCAGAGGTTGTTGATGAATCAGGAAGAGTCTCTTAGTGTTTACGGTCCAGTGTGTGTATCCAAGGTGTATTTGACGTTTTTATAATATAAACGTGTGCATGCCTAGTTAATATTTCTACTACTCCATTCTTATCCTGTTTGATTGCTATTTGTTTGATCACTGGTTTGGATCCTAAGATTTCAGGACCTTACAATTAGTATCAGATACATCTGATGTCAAAACAGATTTCAGTCGTGTTCACGGTTGAAGGATATTCATTTTCTTCATTGTTCGGGGCTTAATTCTGTCTTTTCATAGCGCAGCAGATCAAAACTACTGGAAAAACTTATGTTGTCATCACTTCTGGAAGTTTGCGGTTGAAATTGTTGAAGAGAGTATAACCGTAAAGTCCTTTCTCGACCGTAATCTATTGATCTTCAGAGACCGTAAACTACACATCTTCAAAAGTCGTAAACCTCGGATATTCAAGGACCAGAATCTCATGTACAGCCGTAAACAAGCTTCCAGCTGTAAACACCTCAAGCTGTAAACTGATTACGGCCGTAAACCTTGGCTGTAAACAATATCTTTGATTTAACCTTTGTTTTACCTCCTGGTTCTTTCAATTTAAAAAAAATTAGAAAATTAAAAAAATGGACTCTCAAAATTCTCATTATGAACTCGATTCAGTTATGGGCACTACCACTCGCATACCCCGTTTGTTATTGGCTGAGGAGTTTCCATAATAGAAGTATCATATGGAGAAATACATCTAGATGAAAGATTTCAAAATTTGGAGATGTATTTTGAAGGGTCCTATCAGAATCACCACAACACTTCCAGATAAAACAATCGTTGACAAGGCTATTGAA